TCAGGAGATGGTATCTTGTTTCTAAATAAAGCCCAGCCAGGAACAAAATCTCCAGGGCCACTCCTAAAGTGACTTTGGGAAAACTGCTGACATTCCTGTCTTGAGATGTGCTGGGGGGAGAGGGGGAGGGGACGGCAGGGGAGGGAAAGGGCAAAGCTCTATTCCAAGTGCCCATAACAACAGCCAATAGCAGCCAAAGTCACCTGGTGCTGAGCTGGGCATCAGTGCATCAAATCCTCCCAACAGCCATGTAAGGTGGGCAAGCGTGTTCCCACTTCCTGTATGAGGTGAGGCATGAGCTCCTACGGAGCTGGCTTACGTGCCTGCAACTGGAAAGAGGTGCAGGTGGGAGTGGGACCCGGCGGTTTCAGAGGCAGTGCTCTGGCCCACTGACCTTTAACCCCCGCACGGTGTGTGCAGGGAGGGCTCAGGGCAACTCAGGTTCCATCCTGGCTGAGCACAGGGGGCCCTCCGGCAGCAGCCAGCTGCCCTGGCCCAGCACTGCAGCCAGGTGACCCGAAAGGGGAGGTCCCCCCACGGAGGACAGGCTGGGGACTGGGAGTTTAGATTCTTGATTCTCCTGCCAAAACTCTTGGCAAGGGGCGGGGGCGGGGGGGGGACAGTCAGGAGGGTAGGAAAGAAGGGCAGCTATAAGGAAGTGAACACTCAGGAATGTTTAGTGGGGACAAAATGCGTTTGCTAAACCAAAGGTATTCCAACCGGCACACCCTGCCTTCTAGAGCTACTGGCAAAATTCTACACATCCTCACATTCTCCCACCTCCCTCGGGAACCATTTCACTAAAAACCTTGCATCTGCTAGGACCTAAATGAGATGCCAGAGAGGATTTCTGGGCAAAATGAACCAGTCATCTCTGTAAAACCGACTTTCTCTCTCCAGAAGCCCTTTTCCTGGAGGGAGCGAAGTAACGAGCCAGCCGGCTCCTGGCCTTCTCTCCATGACGGCTGTGCGGGGGAAGGAACACGGACCAGGGACCTTCAGCGGGCAGACAGGAGGGAGTCTGCCTCCCTAGGAACCACCGGGCCTGGCACACACTGGGCAGGTGGGGCAGGGACTACAGGAGAGCGAGCTGGTGCCTGTGGAGGAGTGGAGCCCAGCAGGATGCTGCCTTCCCCCAAATCCGCTACTGACTGTGAGTCTGTGCTTCTCCACACCCAGTTCTCCCCCTGCACTGGCGTCTCAGCTGGGAGCACCAGCTCAGAGCGCGTCTGGATGGCCCTGCAGCAGCCATGCCCCGGTCACACACAGGAGCAGGGCCTGGGAGCAGCAGGAATTGGGTCTGACGGGGATGCTAGTGCTGTGCCGTTTCTGAGCTGGAACGGACCCGAGCACTGGTCTCTGAAGCTTGACCAGAATAAATAATTCAAGCGAGGCTCCATCACGGCCGACCTCAACCTGTTGTAATTGAGACAGAAGGATTCACATTGGCCTTGATGGAAGATTTTAAAAGGACACAAAATCAGACGGCTTGATCCAAATAACTCAGAACAGCCAGTGAGTCCACATGTGGGATTCTACTTACTGATTTAAAAGCCTGGTTTCTCCTTGGAAGAGAATAAAAGAGCTTAGAAGCACTTGCTCCAAACACCGTGCCTTTGTTCCCAGAGGCACTCAACCGCCAGTCCAGTCACTGACGCGGAGACACACATCAGCTTCTCGCTTTCTGGGCAGCACTGTTCAGCGCTGCAGCCGCCTCTCGTTTCAATCCTGTGCCGCGGGGCCGTGCGGTGCCAGCGGCGTGTCCATCTCCGCGGTGCTTTTCAGAACATAAGGCTCCGGCTGGGCCAGCAGACAGTAGGAATCGGTCCAAAGAGCATGGGCTTCGGAGCCTCCGACTTTAGGCACATCACAGCCTGGGGTGTGGGGAGACTGCCCCTGGCTCGGTGACCGGAAGACTGCACCAGCTTGCTCAGGCTGCCATAACAAACACCACAGACTGGGGCTTAGACCACAGGAGGTTCCTTTCTCCCATTTCCGGATGCTAAAAGTCCAAGAGCAATGTCGGCAGGTTTTCCCGAGGCCTCTCTTGCTGGCCTGCAGATGGCGATCTGCTCAGTCCTCTGTGCAAATGCATGCCTGGGCTCTAAACTCTCCTTCCTCGGGCACACAAGCCAAGCCGTAACAGACTAAAGGACAGAGTAAGGGGGAAGAAGTTGTGCTTTGGAATCATAAAGCATCATGTGCCATTCTGCCCTGTACTTTAGGCAAGAAAAGACCAGAAAATCGTAACGTATTTTAGCTTTATTGAAGACATATTACAACAAACAAGTAGACAAACACATGCTTTATAAAATATACATTCTCGTGTGTGAGAAAATATAAATAGATGCGAGGAAAGGGCCGCACTGAACAACTTGACTTACAACTCTCCTCAGGGACATCTAGTATCAGGGCCGCTCAGACTGACATCTTCTGATGGGCGGGGGGGCACAGAGGGAACATAGAAACAGACTACGGATCAAGAGGCCACTTCAAGCAGCTAAGAGAAATTCTAAGAGCAGTTGATCAATGATGACCAATTTCTCTTACAAGACAGTTACAGCTGATAACTATACTCCTTGCACCTGTTTTTCACCTTCACCCCACCCGTTGGTGCAGATTATTAGGACTGATAAGCAATACAACCTTGAGGGAACAGGTCCAAATATTACTCTTCAAAGACACACACACACACACACACACACACACACACACACACACACAGTTTAGTGCCCATAAAACCTTCCGATGATTCATGGGCTTTCAGGAGTTGTTTTGATAAGAGCAGCTTGTAATATATCTCTCAATTCAGAACTTGTTATTTTTGCAACAACCAAGGCAGTGCCCAAAACAGAGAGAAAATGAAAGCCAACTGGTGTTGGTTTAGCTTGTACTCCCAACAAAAAAGTTAGGAAAAGCAGGAGGGGGAAACATCTGCCAAACTCAACTGGAAAGAGACCGTGTAATAGAAAAACTAAACACTCCTAGCAGATTGCCAAAAAGCCTTAGCTGACTGTTTCAGTTACCTGCCCGCTGCTCCAAGAAGGAAAATAGGAAACGGAAGATGTACAATAGCATAAAATGACAGCAAATTTACCTCTGTAGCTCCATTACCCTCCTGGCATTCCTGTGGATAGTCAAGTAATTAGGAAAGGCCACCACACACTTGAGTGAAATGCTGGGTATAAAATTAAACACTGAAATTCCAACCTCGTTCTATATGGAGCCACTGATAAGAAGAAATAGGGACCAACATTAAATAAAGAGTAAAAGGGAGGGATATAATACATTATAGGCTTTAAACTTTTTATTGTGGTGGTGCTGTGTTAATTACTAATTATGTATTTCCGCAGAATAAGCCCAGGCTTTCATATTTTCAGCCATTAACACAGAATAGGCCAAAACACAGAACTCTTTTAAGAAAAATTCTTAAGTGCTCTATACTTACTTTATATAAAGGATTCTGAAAGGCAACGTTTTTCTGGAGATTTCCAATGATAAAATGAGAATCATCTTGCCCATATTCCATCTCAAGGCAGAAATTTCCTCAGAGTTATTAGCAGATGATTTCAGCCTCTGTGTGTACTTTCCCCCCCAAAAGGCTGATTATTCCAACTGTCAGACAAACCTAACAGGTCAGCGAGTGAGCTTATAAAGCACTAGGGGCCTGGTGCACGAAATTCGTGCAAGGGTCTTGGCCCTCGCAGGCCCGGCTTCATCCGGAAGGTGGTTCAGCTGTCGGGTCTATTTACATATTACACTTCTATTGTTATAGATTATAATAATCTATTATTATAGATTACCGGCAAGTGTATTCTGCACCTCCTGTAGCTGTTGCCCCACTGGTATGACCCAGGTCCTCTGGAACCAAAAAAGTGAACAACCCTTTAAGTAACTAAAGACTTTTATCGTATCTCCTTTTTCATAGAAAAATGGCTCAGTCTAAGTTGCTTAACATCTTAGTGTTCCTTTTACAATCTCCCAATAGGAAATGTGAAGGCAACTGTTTTTAAAACATGAACGTTACCGCACAGAGAAACACATGCTAAGCATTCTGAGATGGCACGCCGAGGGAACTGCCCGTGGGCGGGACCCACGGAGGACCTTGCATTCTAGGGGAAGCACAGTCGAAGCTGCCGAGGGCAGAAAGCCAGTGGCTGAGGTGTAGAGCCTGTGCCGGAAGGATGGAATTCAAGGAGGCTGGCTCTTCCAGGCAGGCTGGGAGAATCGGTCTGAGGGGTGCAAACAAATGAAGAGAATTGATGCATCGCTCCTGAGAGGAAGTGGTAATTGGGTCCCAGCATTTTTGTTCACCGGGCTCAGCCACACCCCTGGTTAAATAGGCAACAGGCGGACATTCCGATGCTGGAAAGAAACACTGCCGAGCCACTAATCTGGGTTACAGGAGAGCTCAATGTGCTTGGTCAAGAACAGATGCAATAATGAAAAGTTCCGGGGGTTCCTTCTAGGATTAGAATTTATTAAATTCGCCGAAACCGGTTTGGCTCACTGGATAGAGCGTCGGCTTGGGGACTGAAGGGTCCCGGGTTCGATTCCGGTCAAGGGCATGTACCTTGGTTGCGGGCACATCCCCAGTAGGGGGTGTGCAGGAGGCAGCTGGTCGATGACTCTCTCTCATTGATGTTTCTAGCTCTGTGTCTCTCTCCCTTCCTCTCTATACAAAACCAATAAAATATATTTTTAAAAAAGAATTTATTAAATTCATTATTTTCTTTAAAGACCGGGGGTATGTTATTCACATTTAAACAAATTCCTGAGTGGTATTTAGGTAAGTTTTTAGTTATGTAGACAAGCTAGGGAGATCTGGGAGTTGACAAAACCCCTGGCCGTCAGGAGACAGACACTGCAGAGCATGGCCACTGCCAACGCCATGGCGGCACCCAGGCAGCCACGTTCCTGGGCGCTGGTCCAGCCTGTTTTGTCTTCTCACACACGACAGCCGATGCTCACTTGAGGTCTGGCTGTATCTCCACCTTTTCCACTCAGGAAAGTCTATCAGAATATGAGGAAGAGTCTATCGTTGGTGGGGTAACTGTGAACACAGCAGCAAGGTGGCATACCGGTTACAAGTTAGGGGTGCCACACCCTCCAACTGAGGCAGACTCTGTGGAGTGCTCCGACACCAGCGCTCAGAGCTGCTGGCTAGAGAGCACTGGTGCTTGTCAATGCAGTCCAGTGTCCTTGCTTACTGACACTGTTTAGAAGCAGAGTATTTCTTCCCAGGAGTGTAGCTTATACCATTAACTCCTGCTACAGAGGAAATAAATCTGGCTCAAGTCCGAGCAAGCAGCATCTTGGTCTACTTAATAAACATCTTATGAAAGCAGCTTTTTATTAAAGTAGCATAATCCTCCTTGGCTCCTGGAGGGATCACAGGTTCATAGACTGTTACAGCTGGAAAGGGCTTCAGAGCCTCAGGAACGCGCCCTCATTTCGTAAGTGAGGAAACAGGCTGAGATGGAAAGGGACTGGCCCCTGATTACACAACTAGTAAATGGCAGAGGGAGGAATGCAATCAGGTCTCTCGATTCTAAGTCAGTACAAATTATACTTCAGCCTGGTAAGCAGGAAGAGGGATCCCAAATTAAATGGTGAAGAGGGAAAGGTAGTTAAGAAGTTCAAAGTGAAAATGAAGAAAGGCTGGTAGTTTTAAAAGGAAGAAGAAAGGCATGATGGTACAAAACAGCTCAAGAGGTGCTGCTGCCCAGGGGCGACTGGGGGTTGAGAACAAGCATTAAATCCTAGCAAGAAGCTGAGGAATTACGTGAGGTTAGAACCCTTGAAATGCACGATGACTTAGATATTCTCACTGCAGTGCCAGGGTGTGCAGTACATGGCTAGCACTTACGAGATGTAGAGGGCAGTTTGACCGCCTGCCTGCCTATGTAAGGAAATCTAAAAGCACAAAGAACTTCAGTCCATTCCATTCCATTAGTGTGAAGTCCTTTGTTTACATAAAAAAAATTTTTTTAAAAGCTTTTGCTATCAGAAATCCAGGAAAACTTTTTGGCTTAAATAATCACTTGTACAAAACAAGGACCACTCCAAAGCTCTCTAGTGTAAACATTTCCGCATGTCCTTCTACTTCCAAAGCCTTGCCCCTTCTTAAGATGCACTGTGCAGTGGTCGAAGGGACATTATAAAAGACAAACAGAAAAGAAACGATCTTTGGTTTCCTCATCAACGAAATGCTTTGCTGGAAGAAGATACCCCGAGTTTTCCTGTATTTATGCACATGTGGTGCCGACAGGACTGCTAGTGTTTTCAAAGAGCCTTCTTACCTCGGACAGGAAATAGTAGCTGGCACTTGTAAACAGGTGGCAAATGAGTAGCTGTATGAACCTTCAGGTACGAAGTAAGTGGTTAATTACACCAAGACTGTGTTTGCGTGCACCCAGTCACTGGGTACCCTGCCTCTGTACATTTTTAAAACTTTAAACAGTCTTTAAAATCACTAAACCAAGATATACAAAATCTGTCTGTGGTCTGAGAAGCTGCTGTCAACATTATAACTAGATATCATATATAATTTTGGCATATCAAAAATATTTACATTGCAGCCAACACTTATGTTCAATGAATACAAAAAAAAATTATTTATAAATGCACATATATTTACAATGAGCTTCCAGGGCGATAGGAATCCTCTCCCTACCCCCCAAAGGGAAAAGAAAAAAAAAAAAAGATTCACAAGAATACAAAACTCCTTGACCTGGTAACAAGTGGTCAAGCCCGGGATACTTGCCAAAGACTCTGAATATCAAAGCCTCACCAATCCGCTCTCGACTGCATGCTAAAACCCCGAACACGTCACACAAGCCAGAGTTATTTTTGCTCTTTGGGAGGCAGGATAGATTCTGTTTTCTCAGAATCGTTCTGCGGGTCGAGAAAATCAGCATGTTAAGCAGCAATGAGACTCCTTCCTAATATGCCGTGCACCCGGGCACACCCCCACATCTGTCCTGTGCCTTCCTCTGCCCCTCCGCACGCACACTGCTCACTGCATGTGCCCCGGGCGGTCGGCCATTATCTCTTCTTTGTCCGATATAAGCCCACCTTGGTGAGGTCAAATGTAATTGTAGACAGAGAGTGAAGGGAATGCTGACTTTGGGGTTTCTTCTCAACTCTGAGGTAGTAAATACAAAATTAATGAATTTGGGTCTTTGCCCAGACTTCATCCTAGAATATTTCATGTGCCCTCGCTTCCCTCTTGAATGTTCCGAGTCCTACTGAGATCAAACGCGTGGCCGTGCAACCTGTGGCAGGGCGAGGGCGAGGGCGAGGGGGAAGCGGAGCGGGCGGCACCGCCCTCCGCCAGGCCCTCGTGTTGGTGGAGCGGAGGTGGCTCGGGGACGGGCTGCTGGGAGAAGGGGGCAGGAGGCACGCCCCGTTCTCCGCTCATGGTCCACAGCGGCCGGGGCAACGTTTCTGAGAATCAAAGACAAGAACTGTCAGCAGGGAAGACAAGTTCAAAATTAATTTCCTAAAACTTTTCTTTTACCCAAATCCTCAAAGAAATAAAGATGCCCAGTATTCCTGCATAAGGATGTTGAGATCAAATATATATTTGCCATCTTCTTAGCAACAACTAAAAAAAGAAACGGGACGAATACTGGCACTATGGTCTTGCAAACCTTTCTACTCAACAAACTTAACCAATTATTTGCTGAATCCGTGCGCTATGTCTCCTACTTTTGCCTCTTGTTAATGATTCTGCTGCTTCAAAACCTGAAAATAAAACTCTTTAGACACATGGAAACAGACTAAGGGGCTAATAGTACTCACACTGTAATGGAAGTTGCATGAATCATAATAAAAATTGATTCAGAGAAGCCATTACAGGGTGGAGCAAAAGTAGACTTAAAGTTGTGAGAACATGAAACAGAATTTATTCTTGTTGTATTATTTATTAATTATTGTATTTCTTTCACTAGGAACAACTGTAAGCCTACTTTTGCCCCACCCTCTATATTTTTAAATAACAATTAGATGCCTATGTTTAAAAAAACTATCTTTAAAATAAACAATTTCCCTAGCTTCTAGCATTCTAATAATTCCAACAATAAGAAAACCAACAGCAGCGATTTCAAATCAGATTGTCTGTGCTCTGAGTTCGAAAGTGTGCATCTCTCATTCTCCTTATTCACTGCGGGGTAAGCCCTCTCCCCAAAGACCATTTACTGAAAGTAATGTTAACTTCATGGGGATGCATTTTGGAAAAAGCTTTTTGAAAAATTCTGGAAACATACTCAGAAATAAAATGTTTTAAAAACGCATCTGAAGAGTGAACGCCAGCAGTTTCTTGAGCTTTATATGCATCCAAATCAGCTCGGGTCCAGGGAGACTAAGGGCCTGTTCCCTGGTTGGGGGAACCCACCCGCTGCATTTCTCACAAGCTCCTGCTGACAGACCACTCTGAGTGGCAAAGAGCGAGAGGCCCTAGGAAAGGAATGAGCATCGCACCTACACACTCATCTGCTCATTTCCTCGCTTACAGACTGGAGTAACAATTACCACACCCCATTCGGAAAAGGATACAAATCTATGGGAAAACAGATTTAAAGCTGGTGCATTTCTTTCATGGACACTGAGATTAATTTTAAAGATAAGAGGCTAATTTTATTAACAGTATATACTTTTCTCTGACCTGACCCTCTTTAACATCTTCAGAGTTAATCTCTTAATTAAAACAGGAGCACATCACTTCTGCCAGGCCGCTCCCAGAAGCACCCCCACACTGCTTCCTCTGCAAACTGGGGTGCTCCCGCCCTGGTCCCAGTGCTCTGGCCCTCGGGCTCACAGGATGACTGACAGCTCGTGGAACACCTTTAATGGCCTTGAGAGAGTTTTGTTCTGCTTGTTTTACTGACCAAGCTGTTAGCAGGTGCTCCATCTGCACACCTAACATGTACTCCTTGCCCCAGGCTATGTGGGTCTGAGGACACTCTCCCAAAACTGCTTTCCCACTTAAGGCCCTGATCATGCCTCGTGGAGAAAAGCTAACACTGCCAAGGGATGCTGGCATTCAATACTTACCTGACAGCACAGCAACCAAATAAAGCATTTAAACATCTTCTTGGTAAAAACCTGCATCTAATTATATATCCTTAGCATTTCAGATCTCCATCATTTAAGTAAGATGAAAGTAAAAAAAGTAACTCCTATGGAAACGTTCTGAAAGCTGCGGCTTCTGAATTTTTAGAGGTGTGGTCTTGCTCTTTCCACAGAAGCTGTTTTCATCCAAAAGACGCAGACTCCCCTGTAACTCTGGTCTCTGAAAATCTCCTGCTCTAACTCACACCATGTAATAGTAGCTAAAGACTCATTACACCAACCGGACTGCTGCGTCCTGCCAGACAAGAGTGCTAACGACATGACAGAGAAAACCGAACAGGTGAGATGGAAACAAAACGAACACACAGCACTGTGCCCTCACCGCTGCTCATCTGCGCGGAGGGGAGCTTCCTCTCGTGGTTGGTGGGAAAGGCAGGCGTCTCTCTGTCCGCCGGTGACACTAGGCTCTCCAGGGTTGCGGCATCTTGGGGAGGATGTGCCAGATACGGCTCTTTGGGCATCTGGACCATGAGGCTCGACAGTGTCTGATCTAGAACATCCTCCTCAGCGATGTAGGTGTACGGACAGTACTCTCGCGTCCTGGAGTAGATGTTGGCGTTGTCGTAACAATCTGAGCAGATAACCCGGGTTCCAGAGCCACCTGAGGTCAACATGAGAGAGAAGCCGAACAGCCTTCAGTGAAAGAACCAGCTTTACCATCACCAGTTTTTATCCAACCGTTGCCATCATCATCATCATAGCTAGCAATTATTCCACACTAACGTTACTGACCAGGTGAAGTTCGAAGGTCTTCTGTAAATTAACTATTTAATCCTCACAACATACTATTTCCCCCTTCTTCCAGATGGATTAACTCAACACAGAGAAGTTAAGTAATTGGCCTAAGCATAGTGCCAGAGTGAGGAGCTGAAATCTGAACTCGGCACTCTGGCTCCAGCTCACGCTCTTGACTAAGCCATCTTTGTCCAGCCTGGATAAAGTCATGCTCAAATCAAAGGAGCCAAAATAAGGCTGGCACTGTGCTACAAGACATGTTTGGCTTAAGCAAAATGAAGCAGAGAACAAGGAGTTATGATCGCTTCACTTCACAAAAGCCCGTATTACTTTCATGAGTCAAGAGGTTAAGCAACACTAGCGGCGGAAAGTACCCTGAAAAAGCCAAGAGTCCTGCCCAACAAGCCTGTGTTTGGCAGAGGTAAAAGCTGAACAGTGAGCTCCCTGGGCTGCTATGTGCTTTGAAAACTGAGTGATGAAAAAGAGCGAGGAATAAAGAGCGAGGTACTTAATTCACGATCAAGCAACAAAATGTTAGACCTAGGAGAAATCTAAATGTAGTTTTGTTTAACCCAGAAAGCAGTGTTATTTCCCACAAATTTCAGAGTGAAAGCTTTACGTATTTTTTTTAAAGCTAAAAATACCCCTTTTTCATGGAGAACCAAAAAAATCCAACTTGTCAATTACATAGAGAAGTTCTGTCAACACCCAGCATAAAAAATCTCTAGAAATGGAGCAGACCTTCCATTTGTATTGGATTTGAAATACTACACAGGTTTGCTGAAGGAATCTGCTAAGCCCTAAGGAAAAGGCTTTATAAAATACTGTGGTTTTTAGCTACAAGGAAATTAACTTGTTCACGGCCAGAGAGCTGGAAAGAGGGACTAGGAACCAAACCCGATTCTACCCCTTCACTCACCTTCCTGCGGGAAGGGAGGAATGGGAAGAATAGCTGTGTTGAGAACATGGGTTCAATTAAGGGACATTTCATATTTCTCTGATATAAGCTGAAAAACATCATTGCCGTTTAAACTTCAGTGATTATGTACCTGTCAGCAGGAGAAACAAATCTCCCCTAGACATGGTCTGAAGGATGTTCACGCCTGAAATGAGATAAAAGACACCTAATTTCCAGAGCTTCTCCTTCCCATAACAGCACTGGTTTGGGAGACTGTGCTGGGTAGTGCTCTCAATCCCTTTAGGATGTGTTTCTCGTACCTGTCAGGTGACTTTCTTCTCTGTTTAAGACTTCAGTCAATTTTTATCCTAGTTTGCATAGGGTCAAATGTTTTGAGCATCTCTAAAAATACTGCTTCAATATTCTAACCATATTAATATTGAAGCCAATTTTATAAAGCACTAGCACTAGTAAATCCACTATTAAATCCACTTAACAGTGAAGGAAGAAAATGGAAGTGATTGCCTGAATATTGCTGACGCATTATTTCATCTGTAAGTGCATGTGTGTATGGGATTCTTAATCTTTGATCTACTAACTTGAATTTAGAAATAAAAAATACTTTAAAAAAATAAATAATAAATAAAATAAAAATACTGCTTCAGGTTAAAGGGCAAAACTAGACACTAAAAAACTCAAGCAGGCAGGGCTGCAATGTAAGCACAGACAGCAGTCATTACCATCGGCGCCTTTGTGCACATATCCGTTGGCAGGAGGCATGAGCTGCTGATGGCTGCCCGCCTCGGAGTTGCTGTAGCCTTCCTGCGGCTCAGACAGAGTTCCTTGGGAAGACAAGTAGCTGGGAATGTCTGCAGGCAGGTTGAGCTCCTCTGCAAAAGAGAAATCTGTCTGTAACTCACAGATAAAGTTAGGCAATTTAAGCCAACGCTCAGAGACCACTTTATAAATGTGTTCCATTTGGATACTATTGGCCAGGAAAATGTTGTATGTGTATCTAAGAACTTAAACTCTCCCCTAAAATCCTTTCTCACTAGAATTTCCCCTAAAATCATCTCACTAGACTTCTCAAAGCATCACTGTAATAGTATTACCAAAAGAAACAAAACCTAAGGTCGGAAATCTTATCTGTAGGTAGGTACTTTCACAGTCTGTGGCTGAAACTCCTCTCACAGCATTTCAGAGTGAGGCATGTGAAAGACTGATCAGCCATAAGGGCTCCCGTCCACACAGAGAAATTACAATGGACATGACCTTGAGGCATTCAAAGAAGAAGAGTAAACTTTTAACGGAGTGTCCACAAATTCTTAAAACTATTTATGAGAGAGGTTCTGTTATATCAAGGAAATTGGATATTTTAACAGAAGAACTCTTCCTTCTACCACAAACTAGTAAAAAGTAAACAAAGTTCCCCAGTCTTTACATTTTACAGTAAATTCTACACTACATTCCTGATTCAAGTACGAGCCAAAGGTGTCAACTGGTGGCACTCACCTGTGTTGGTGATACTGTAGTCTTCACTTTTCCTTCTCATGTGGTAAATAACGATGACCCAGATCAAAGAGGTGCCCACCACACAGCAGACCACGACGATGACGACAATGCCAACTGTGGTCCAGCCGTCGTCCTCGTGCCCGAGGCTGCTCTGGGAGGAGTCACAGTTGGGGGAGGAGATGACATTTAGGTAAATGTGACCACGTTCTGTTCCCAGAGTGTTGGACATGATGCAGGTGTATTTCCCAGCATCCTCCAGCCCAGCATCCACGATGATGAGCAGCTGGTTGGCTGCAGCGAAGAAGTGGCGCTCGGTCACAAGCAGCGGGCCGTCGTCTTTGGTCCAGTTGAGGCGAGGGGCAGGGCTCCCCCCGGCGATGCACTGTAACACCGCAGTCTCACCCCGGGTGACCGTCTTGTCCTCCAGCGGTCTAACAAAGGAGGGCGTCTCTAACAAAAAACGTATAAAAATCATAGTAAGCAATTTTATTCCTTAAGTCCTACTGGATTAGACTAATGAGGTGAAAATGAAATAGGTAATTCCATATACTCATGGGACGATTACAAGTTAGTATTTCAGGAAAGCAAAAGTCTCAAAAAACCTAAATCTTATCTCAGTAATTCCACCTTGGACAAGCTAGCCTAAGCTAAGGAATTCAAAAATTTCTACACAGAGCTATTTATTATAAAATGAGTTGTAATTTTTTTAAATAAAGGGAAAAATCTAAAAACCTATCAGGAGAATTGTTAATTGAATTACAGTAAACAGCCACCTGATATTTTATGAAGACCAAAAACAGGGTAACCCAGTGATAATATTAAGTGGGAAAAAGCAGGTATATATAACTAAATAAAAATGAGTTTAAAAAAAAAGTCCAGAATATGACAAAATCTTTAACAACTGTTTGAGTGACTTTCCCTCCTTTATTCTAACTTTCTGTATAACTAACATTTTTAAACACAATAAACTTATCTTTTTATTATACAAGTAAATAACACAAACCAATGAACTTTTAAAAACCTTAACATCTAGGAGAATAGACAACTAAAAATAGAATATCCCGGGAGTTTAAATCCATGAAGAAAAGCATTGTCATTAGAAAAAAAGGTTTGAAAGGAGAAATCTATAGGGGAAAGACATTTTACTAGAGCATAAAATTAAAAGGAGCACGCTGGATGGAAAAAGGGAAATCTAACTAGAGGACAGGTCATTCTGTCTGTATTTAAAAAACAAATGTAAATGACCTGGAGGGAAAACAGTTAAACTGTCTCAAGTTCCTAAAAAACAACTGAAACTCACTACTGGAGAGCAGAAGAACCATGTGTATGAAGCAGGCACCGTGCGGAGGGAGACGTAACAGACACACTTAGGGACTTGCGTTTTCATTTCCTGTGATAACCCTCTCTGAATCCGCCCTCAGCACTCCCCCAGATCTCAGCTACCTGAGCCGCTAGGTCCCTCGGCTCACATAACCCTGCACAACTGGCAGAACAAGTGACGAGATGTGAGGATCACTGCTGAGGTCTCAGACTTTTCTCGCCGTGAAGACCAAGGTTAGGTCCCCCATGAAAAGGCTCCTACAGAAGGGGCCCCCGGCGGTGAGCATACCGAGCACCGTGAGTGAGGCGTTGGCCGAGAGGCCTCCCGCTATGTTCTGCGCCATGCAGCTGTAGATGCCCATGTCTTCTATCTTCACGTTTGCGATGAAGAAGACGTCGTCCTCGGGCATGACATGCATCCGTCTCTCTCGGGCTGCAGGAAAGTCAGTCCCGCCGTCTTTCTGCCAGGAAATCTGCGGTGCGGGGTGCCCTTCGGCAGCACACTCTAATCTGGCCATGGCTCCGGTGCGAATGGTGAGATCCATAGGGGTTTTCAGAAAAGATGGCATCTCTGTTCCAGGAAAGATCACGGAGGCAAAGGGAGTGAGGGAAAACACACACACTCAGGGAGAACCTGCTGGGCCAATGACAGCTGTCGTCATGCTGCATACTTAGGGAGACATGCTCTCTGGGCTGACAGTAAAATGCAACTTCAGGGGCCATCTTTTCTCTTGACTTGGAGTATCTGCAGTACAGTGATGATCACCCTTCTGGAGTACATGACACACCTTTCTTAGGCCACAAACCTTTCTGAACTCCGTATCTTAGAACCTGGTATTTACTAACTTCCTTACTTAAGAGACTAAACGGTGCTTCTTACACTAACCTCTACAGTGCTGTCAAGAGAACTCTATAATTTAAAAAAAATTATGCCTTCAAAAATCTCATAAAACAACACACAAGCAAAACGTAAGTACATCTTTTGAGTGCACAGTCTAAAATGTTGTAGTTATTCAATCTAACGGGCGATAAATAGATCAAGCTGTTTTGGAGAAGTTGTTTTCTAGCCACGGAGAAGAGAGCACTAATTTCAACAACGGTTGTGTGTGACTACATGAAGACAATGATGATCATCACAGGACCTAGAAATGTGCTAAACACACCACTACTGAAAGGCCCTGTGAACAACGCCAGGAATGAATTTCACGGTTCTCAGAACAGAATTATGGTCTGGGGAGAAAATGGAGAATTCCAAAACTATTTTTTCAAAAGCATAAATAACAGTGAAAGCAGCTTCTCTTCTGGGGACATGGAATTCACATTTGCCTCTCAACCAATGACCAATTAGGGATGAAATGGACAAGCTGACAATTCAGACTATACATGATCCTCCTCAAATGTAAGGTTTTACCTAATTTTCTTGAGTCAAATGATTCAAAATGTAATGTGGAAAATCCTCCCAACTACAGAAAATCTATTAGGGGGCACAATTCCTCACCGTTCACAGTCAGTTTGGCTTTATAAGAATAGTTAGAACCAAAGTGATTGGTAATGATGCACTGATATCTTCCTTCCTCTGTGAAATTCACGTTGAAAAGGTGTAAGACACTAGTGTATTCCAGAGCCTCTCCAGCTTGCTGTTGGTAACGAACAAAATTCTCAATGTCAGCGTCATACAGGATCTCACTGTCTTTGCGCCACACGGCAGACATGGGTGAGTCACTGCTGCTCACGGCAGCGCACGTCAGAGTCACGTTCACACCTCTGAGAGCAGTTGTGGTTTCAGGATGCCTTCTTATCTGTGGCTTGAGAAAATCATCTAAGGGAAAATAATGGGGCAGGAGACAAGTCAGTTGTTTATTTTTGCTTCTACAAATTCAATTTTAAAACAAGTAATGTAAAATTGTGTGTTCTATTTACAAGATGGCATCTTAAGACTGAAAGAGACTATATAGAATCCAATTCCTCGTTTAAAGATGGAAGGATGAGGCCGATAAGGTCAAATGACTTGCTCAGAGACATGTAAGTCAGTAGCAGAGCCTGGACCAGAACCCATGTTTTCAAACTCTTCCCACTATCCCTTACTGACAGTGACGCCTAGAATATACTTCTTAAGCATTAGCAGTTACTGGGAATAAAAGAAAAACCGATATTAAAATTTCAAGACAAGTTCTAATGCTATTACCCTCTTTATAAAAAATTCTACTGTTAAGATGTAAGAGTGTAATATAGAAAATTTAAAAACCAAAAACACAAACCACAGACAAAATCCTTCAGATCCACATTCAGGATGCTGTGCCCCGCCAGCCACTCGGGGTGTGCACACGTTGCATTCACAGAATGCTGAAAGTTATTATCGACGAGCCATTGAAGCAGCCACTTCAAATGGCAGTCACAGAGCAAACTGTTTGTGTTCAGAATCCTGCAGAAACAGAGAGGAAAAGAAGTGCTTTTTACTTTGCATTCCAAGTTTCTTTAAGCATTAAAAGCTGACTACATACCTATGTATCTTTCTTGCCAAAATAATGTTTAACCTGAGTCTAACCAGGAGAAAACAAATGGAGACTGTCAGCTGAATTCCTCAAATACTGTCAGTGCCATGACAGATTCTAATGGGGAGGGGGGCCAGGTGCCTATCTTAGACCAAAGGAGACTACAGAGCCATCACAGCGAATAAAATGAGTGATCCCTGACCGGAAAAACAGACCTACAAAGTTCATTTTCTGACACGAACTGCTTATTTCACTGGGTGTGACAACAGTGCTGCGGTGATATCACTGTTTTTAGGAAATACATGCTGATTGATTTTTAGAAGTGAACTGTCATGCTGTTTTCAACTTACTCTCAAATTGTTTAGTAAAAATGCAGTGTGTATATATATCTATCCATCTGTGTGTGTGTGTAGAGAGAGAGACAAAGAAGTAATGGGAGAGAGGGAGAGAAGGAGGGGAGAGAGAAAAATAGATATCAAATTTAGCAAAAAGTTAATTAATTGGTGAATCTAGGTAAAGGGTATATGAAAGTTCCTTTACTTTTCTTTAAATCTTTAAGGTTTAAAATTTCCCCAGAGCCCTAACCAGTTTGGCTCAGTGGATAGAGTGTCAGCCTGTGAACTAGGGGGTCCCGGGTTCGATTCTGATCAAGGACATGTACCTTGGTTGTGGCACATCCCCAAAGGGGGGAGTGCAGGAGGCAGTTGATCGATGTTTTTCTCTCATCGATGTTTTTAACTCTCTATTCCTCTCCCTTCCTCTCCATAAAAAAAAAAAAAAATCAATAAAATATATATTTTTAAAAACAAAAACAAAACCGGAAGCACTCCTAAATGATACAGTTGCTAAATAAAATAAAATAAATAAAATAAAATAAAATAAAAAATTTCCCCAGAAAAATTTAGGGAAAAAAGCTTAATATATATGTTGAAGCATAAACACATCTTTGTTGTGGAGGATATAATTTTTTCAAATTACTTCACTGAGACTGAACACACTTCAGCCTGTGGCAATGTGTGCTATAACTTAAACTAAGAACCTCTGAAAAATCGTGTGTGGTCTATAATAGGCCTAAAACACATACTGAGGGGGCAAAAGTAGCTAAAGTATGTGTGAAATAACTGATTCTTACATTATTATTATTTGTACTGTAACTGTTAACCTACTTTTGCCCCACCCTGTAAATAAATAAAAAAATCAGTGTTTTCTTTTAATGGTCCCTCAGTTACTTTTAAAGTTTGGTATAAAGTACCAAAGATCTGATTCCGAAGAAGTTTCAGTCTTTAAGGAAATAGCAAAAGCCATGTTTTATCAAGGATAATTTTAGCCAAAACCGGTTTGGCTCAGTGGATAGAGCGTCAGCCTGTAGACTGAAAGGTCCCAGGTTCGATTCCGGTCAAGGGCATGTACCTTGGCTGCGGGCACGTCTCCAGTGGGGGGATGTGCAAGAGGCAGCTGATTGATGATTCTCTCTCATCGATGTTTCTAACTCTCTATCCCTCTCTCTTCCTCTCTGTAAAAAATCAATAAAATATATATTTTTAAAAAGGATAATTTTAATTAAGTAGGCCAAAAGTTACCTTATGCATTTAAAAATTCTTATGTTACATTCACTCATTCAATCATAGAGGAATACTGAAGTCTACTACATGCCAGATATTGCAGGCTGTGGAACTATATACTTCACAGAGCTTCTGTATTTAAACCAAGCAAAAAACAAATAAATGCAAATATAATGGCAGAAAGTAAGTGCTATCAAGAAAAACAAAGCTAGGCAATGGCCCTGAGGTAGCAGCTACGTTTAGGTGGAGAGGTCAGGGAAAGGTTCTTTGAAGCGATGACATCTGGACAAAGACCCAGGAAAAGTGACAGCAATCAGCGAAAAGACTTGTGGGTAAGAGTGTGGCGGACAGAGGAAAGGGAGGGGCGGTGACAGAATGAGGTCAGAGCGGGGCCGGGAGAGCCAGGCCCTGCAGGCGCTTTATGAGCTAAGAACTCAAGTTGTTTTCTCGTTGTGTGTGACGGGAAGCCACGGGATGGCTGAGAAGAGGAACGATGTCTGACTTACGGTTTCTTAGGTATGAACTGGACCCGGGAGGCCTGGACTAATTCCGCTACTTACATTAGGCAAGATACTGCATGTCTCCAAAATCTGTTTCTCTCTCTGGAAAACGGGACTGAAAGTGCCTACCTCAAAAACAATTTTAAGTAAAGTATTTAGCACAGTGCCTGGCCACAGAAACCACTGAATTCACTTTAGTGCCCTTCGCTTCTCTTTCTCTGCATCTTTCTACCCTGTGCATGCTAACCGACCCTGCCCACAAGTGCCTCTGAGAGCACCCCGCATTCTCTCAGCATGTGGATAGACACCAAAACATTAACAGTCCTTGTCTTCAGGTAGTAGGGATTTGGTATCTCTTTTTCCCTTTTGGTTTAACGGTACTTTCTAATTTTTCTTCCATGATTATATAATTTCAATGCAAAATATTTTCAATTTATATGCAACTCTCCCATCTCCCCTCAAATTTACGCCAAGTATTGTGAACAATATAAAAAATGTAGAGTTTTAAGTAAGTGTTGATGTAAAAAGTATTATAACTATGACTTCAATTTAAAGTAACCACACACCAAAAGGTGGCAGGTTCGATTCCGGGTCAGGGCACATACTCAGGCTGCAGGTTCTGTCCCCGGTTTGGGCATGTACAGGAGGCAACAGATTGATTTCTCTCTCTTTCTTTCTCTACCCCTCACCTCCTCCTCTCTCTAAAATCAAATGTTAAAAATTAAATAAAGTAACCAAAACTCCTCAGTAAAAAAAGCTGTATTATAGTTCCTGCATTAGCAATTTGTTCAAGTCAATTCCCATATTACTGACATGACACTCTGAAGAATAAACTATAACGTGTTTTCATCTACTATCTAAATTACATTTTTAACTGAGCTCTTATACAAGAGGTAAAAAAAAAAGGGGGGGGAGAGGGCCCACTTAAAAATTCTTGCAGAAAATAACTAATGATAATTACCATAACATTTCATTTTTGTTAATATTATTTATTCAGTTTTTTCAATGTGCCAGGCCTGTGCTGAGCATCTTCTCAAATCTCCCCCAAGTTTACTAATGTTTTGGGGGCAAGAGGAGACGGGTCCTAACTCCTCATGACCTAAAGGTACTATATCCTACATGCCCTGGCTCTTGTTTATTAACTCCCTGGCCTCATCTCCTTCCACTCCTGCCCTGCTCTTGTCTTCCAGCCATACCAGTGTCAAGCACAAGAAGTCAGGGCCTTTTCTGCCGAAGCCAGTTTGGCTCAGTGGTAGAGCGTCGGTCTGCGGACTGAAAGGTCCCAGGTTCGATTCCGATCAAGGGCATGTACATTGGTTGCGAGCACATCCCCGGTGGGGGGGTGTGCAAGAGGCAGCTGGTTGATGTTTCTCTCTCATCGATGTTTCTAGCTATCTCTCTCTCCCTTCCTCTCTGTAAAAAATTAATAAAATATATTTTTATTAAAAAAAAAAAAAAAAAGTCAGGGCCTTTTCAATTGCTCTTCCCTGTGCCTGGATGCCCTTAAGCCAGTAGTCAATGGTTTGCCATTTCATCCCTGGCTCCAATGCTATATCTTCAGAAAGCCTTTTCTCTTTGACTCATATAAAACAGCAATCCCTGCCACTCTACATACCTTAGACCAGCTTTGCCTTTCATCAGCATATTTATTACTTGATAATATAATACACTAGAGGAAAGGGCCTAAGCTGGCAGTCGGAAATCCCTCTTTCAATTGGGGGCTCTTAAAGCCCAGGTCCCCTCACTCCTTACCACCTGCTTCTAGCAGAAGCGGGAGAGCCATGAGCCCCGCTTATGGGTGTGCGTCACTCCCCCTGTGGGAGCGCACTGACCACCAGGGGGCAGCTCCTGCATTGAGCATCATAGCAACTAGTTGTTCCTGGTCGGACAATTTGCATGTTAGGCTTTTATTATAAAGGATATCCACTGATCCATTACCTGTCTTCCTTAGAATTTATTGTAATATACTATGAAACAGAGACTTTGCCTTGAACAATGATTTATGTAGAAGATGACAATAAACTCCCTGAATGACTAAATTAATCTCATATTATCCTCACAAGCCCTGAGGAAGGTGCTGCTGTCATTTTAAGTAGGAAAACAGTCTTAGACTAATCAGTGTGTCTGATGTCACATAGTTCTGGGTAACAGAGCAAGAATCTGTTTGAACTATAGCATACTTCCAGTGCATCTCAAACTATATGGTGAAGAACCGGTTCTTAAAATTTCCCATCTGTTATAAATCAACACTTTTATAAAGTTGAACTAAGTGTTACAGTAATGTCAAACTCTTTTAAACGTTTTAAAACACATTTCTATCCATATCTCATCATGAACAAGTTCTGGTCCACAGACATTCCTTTAAATAGCTTTCCGGTAGAGCAAGATAAAAGTTACTGGCCCTTAATGCTAACCATTGGCCGAACAGTTGAACTAGTTACCACCCTACCCCACCCCAGCCCAATGAAATCTTGAAACTATTAAAAGCAATTTTTTTTAAAATCATGAATGAAAAAAAGGTATAAGATATGTATTTTCTATAACAACTATATGCAGTTTTGAACATTTCAGTAGCTTGAACACATTAGAGACATCCTTTTTGACCATGATATTGAAAGTGCTAGATCATCTCCAAAAAAATGACATAATCCCCCAAGTGTAACCACCCCAAGGGGTAAGGATTGGATATACATGTTTCCAATAATCCAAAAAGAAGGGGGGAAGGGAGGAAAGGAGCAGTCGGTATATATAAAGCACAAGAATCAGTGCCAACTATAAGCAAACAGGTCCTCGTGCACAGTGTGCTTTTCAATGTTGGGTTATTTTTAAATCATATCCAACCACTAAAACAACTGCATATTGACACTTTTTTTTCCTGCCTGAATTGTGTACTTTTGAAAACATCTGGGTCACATTCATCTCACTTTTAAATACAAGCATGGATAATGATCTAATTGATAAAAAAAAAAAAAATACTTCAGTTACATACAGTTCTTTCAAGCGAGTCTGAGAAAAAGCATTTTCTTGGATAGACATTATGGCATTGTTGTTCAAATCTCTAAAATGAAGAGAAACAAAACATTCTTAGTCACCATTTCTACAAATAAGTTCTATAAAGACTTTAAATAGTCATGAAAACCCCTACTAATAGCAAAACTTACGTATACAGTAGAAAAACATATGCAAAATACTTACAGATGCTCCAGGGACTCAAGACCCATGAATGCTTTCTTTGTAATCGACTTAATCTGATTTCCTTGTAAGATTCTGAAAAACAAACAGACCTTTCTAATAAAGTGTGCCACTAAACAAAATTAAATTCATTAAATCAGACCTTTACCTGTAAAAGGTGAAAATAAGCTAAACATGCATTTTTATGAAATTGGCAAACATTTATGACTAACCAACGCAGAGAATGAAGGCCTCTGTTAAGAGGTGCGCGCTCAATGAGGTGCCTGTGGACGACCTTCCTGACCACTGACACAGGCAGTGTTCATGTGAGAGACCGGATGATGGTCCCAGTGACTCCCTTCTTAGGGGAAGATCACCCGGTCAAAGAAATTCAGACCAGTGTGAAGCCTTGAAGAAATTCCCATGGGAAAAGATCTAAAATCTTACTTGAGAGAATCCTCTCATTAAATTTCCCATCAATCTCACATGATTAAGTAGATTGCTGGTTCAACTCTTGTTTCTCAGTGCATCTTTTCACTTAAACAGAAATTCTTGTTCCATAAACAACTTTTCTTTATGTGCCCATAGGAACGCTCTTTTGTTTTGCCCCACCACAAAAAAAAATTTTTTTAAATAAAATATTTTAAAAATCAAAACAAACAAAAAACTCAATAATCAACCAGATTTCTTCCTTTAGCTCAGTTGGTTGGGGCATCGTCCGTCCCACACACAGAAAAGGTTGCAGGTTTGATCCCCAGCTGGGGTGCGTATGGGAGCCACCTGACTGACGCTTCTCTCTCACACCAATGTTTTTCTCTCTAAAAATCAATAAAAACATATACTGGATTTTTAAAAAAGCTTCCTGCTTTAGTGAATAAACCAAAAGGCTCAGACCTCCCAGCCACAGCAAACAGATATAATCCAATCCCATTTACAATGTGTTCCTGACAATGTACCCTTATAAATGACACATGAATGTTTTAAATACATACAATTTAGTGAGACTTGTGAGTCCAGTAAAGGCTTCACTAGCATCTTCTATGGCCCATGAAATTTCATTGTTTCTTAAGTTTCTAAAAAAACGTCAGGGAAAAACAGGCTGTCAGTCAACATGACCGTTACATCACCGAGCACCATTATGGCATGGCAATCATCTTATCTTTATTTTATCAGCTAAGTTATGATAACTCTTTTTTGAAAAAAGGATATCTGCAATAAGCATATAAAAACTGATTCTCGTAAACTACTAAGAAGTAAGCTGGCCTTGATAACTTAAGCAGCCTGCGAAGAGTATCAATCACCCTAGCTAACAGCCATTAAACGAGTTAGCATATTAAAAGTGATAGGATCCTGCAAAAAGCAGGAGGATTTCAAGATACAGGAGATATCGCCCACAAACCTGATGCAGACTAACGGGATTTCTGGGCGACTCAAGCCTTCCCATGGGCCCTGACCCAAAATGGCCGGCAACAGTGATGTCCACAGTTTCACCTCCCCTCAGCAATTGAACATGCCCCGGAGGAAGCAAGCATGATACACCCATGTGCTAGGGGGAATCGCTGTTTTCTTTAAAAGGAAAAGTACGGATCTTTTAAAATCTCCTGCTCAGTTCTCAGAGGAAATGCAACTGCACTGCACCGTGTCCTGATGGAAGAAACACCGGTGAAAGATGATTTCTTGCTTCCTTAAGTCGTCTCATATTAAAGCCCCAAGCTTTTCTCTTTACAAGATGTGCATAATGTCACTAAGGAGCTAGGCGATCGCTCTTCCCATCTAGCTATATCTGTACTTGAGGTGAAAGCTAACAAAGCTCATTTTAATTTCACAAGAAATAACATGGCTCAAGGTCAGAGGAAGAAGAAAATGTGCAGTCCTGGCGCTGGCAACTGTGTTTTGTTCCACAGTAATGGCACGAGAGATGCTTTGTTGGCTAGTTGGTTAATTCAGAATTAAAGTACACACAGAACTGGCTAGACGTAAGTAAGATTCAGGCCTGGGGATAGAGACAGTATAGACAAGTACAACTGTCTCACACCGAGGCATAGAACCGAAGAACCACAACGTACTAACATGTTAAAAAAGAGGACAGATGTACTTACAGCGTCTGAAGATTGGAGAGAGACTTAAACACGCCGTCAGCAATGTGAGTGACTCTGTTGTCCCCCAAGTTCAATCTCTCCAGTAAGCTCAGCCCCACAAAGGCAGACTCATCCAGGCGGGTCAACTGGTTATAGGACAAATCACTGCAAACAGGACACAAGAAAGTTAAGGAATTCACTCTATTTTAATTCAACTTTCCTAGGCTAATTCTATTAACATGACAAATTTAGAGCTTTCGACAAACTTCTAATAAAGAGGGATGTCAGATTTTATTACTGGCCATGGGAATGATTTATTCCAACCTGCTCTAGCCTCAGAGACTCCGCCGAAATGCCAACCAGCACTTACAGTTCAGACAGTCTTTGGCAGAACTCCCATGCATCGGGGCTGATCCTTTCGACAGCATTCTGGTTCACATAGAGCTGCTGTAACATTCGCAAGCCATACAGCCACCCCTTGTTCACCTCTGTGAGATTATTATGCTCCAGTTCTCTGTAGAATTAGAGAAACAAAGGAGAAAGTGTGTTTCATAACAAGTAGTGCAATGAGAAGATTCCAAAATCATCACTAAGACTTACTCAAAGAAACATATACTTTTCTTCAACCCGAGTTCTAGTCAATAACTATTTATATCATATTAAGATTTAGTGCTAGAAGGTAGTAAGACCGTCTAAAATATCAGATCTATAAAATCAAGACACCAAGAGGTATAGTATACCTGTATTTGGTAAATTCTAATAAATTTCATCAGCCAAAACAATAAAGGAACATAAACTATTTAGAGAAAATGTTTATGAGAATGATGGCAAAAATGCCAGTTATTTCATAAAGCTTAAAGAGCTTTGTGTGTATTTATTTCACATCAGAGAAGGGAAAAAGAACTAATGTAATAACTAGGTATAACTACCGCAGTAACCTAGCTGTTTGGCACTAACAAGTCCCAGTCAGACCCGATTCCTCACAATCTCCTATGCAGGTTCATAGTACTTACAGTTCTTCCATGTTATCCAAGCCAAAAAAAGCACCATCCTTCAGTTTGCTGATCCCATTCCGCTGCATTTTTAAAGACTTTAAGGAATCCAGACCTTGGAACGTTAGACCTTCCACAACTTTAATTCGGTTTCTTTTAAGCTCCCTTTAACAAAAACAGTTTATAATTACAAAACTGGTTTGCTGATTTGTTCTACTAATAATTAAAAAGGAAAAGACTGTAAGAAAAAAATGATCTCATAATCTAACTATTTAGTTACTCACAAGAATTGGAGGTGAGGTAGCTTGAAGATCTTGGGTGGAATCATGCTAATTCTGTTACGGTTTAACTTCACCACTAATAAGGAACTGGATAAATTATCAAAGCAACCAGCCTCCAAAACAGTTATCCTATTATTACTCAAATTCCTAAAATGAAAAATGATTAACAAAAAATTAGTGAAATAAAAATCTACCAGAGGAAAGCTGCCCAAAGTCCATGACAGCCCCAGCTCTACCACCAGGCAGCTGAGTGCAACTTTACAAATCATTTAACTGCTTTGCTTCTTCAACTATTAATAGAAAGTAAGGATACTAACTACTTCATTTGGGTTAAAACAGTATGTGTGAATATGCTTGTGAACTGTAAAACACTAATGCACACGCTAATTATCATCATTATATAGGTTAAGCTGCTGTTTACCAAACTACTCCTAGTTACCTTTTACAAAAGTGTTAATAAATACAATCCAGAATTTAAAAATTATCCTGGATACTCACCAATATTTTCTGAAACTAGTGCACTCCTTCTTTAAGGGGAGAAAAAAAATCTCCCAAATGCCCCAAAACTGGCCGTAGATTTGATTCACATAAGCACATAAAAATCACAGTAACAGACATGCACTTGAAAGTAATTCCAGTTTAAACTCTATTTCACTTACAGGTATTTCAGCTGCATTCGAGGAAATGAAGCGGTCCTGATCTCTGATATCATGTTTGAACTGAGATCTAAGCTCTCGAGAGCCGGGTAAAACTGGAACTCCTCTGCATTTATTTCTGCAATCATATTATGGACTCTACAAAACAAAGGTTCTAGTGAACCTGCTGCCAGTGATCCACCCCAGGCCACAAGAATGTTAAATAATTGGGACCAACAACAAGGGTGCTTACAACAAACAAACAAAAATCCATGTACTATTTATAATTTAAGTAAAGATCTGAAATCTTATTTACTTACAATGATAATGCAGTAATATTAGAGGTTGGTTCTCCAAAATATGGGATTTCTGTTAGTTCATTATAATTCATTTTCCTAGTCAGGAGGAAAATAAGATTTCAAAGTTTAGTGAGAGAAATGTTATGTACTGAATTCTGGTTTACTGCCTAATACATATTCTTTAGGATGGATGCCACATCTGAAAGAAGCCTGTGTGACTCAGAATGAGTAAGACTAAATGTCTCAAACTGAGAAATTAGAGGTTTTAATAAAAAATGCTTTTTCATGGTATAGATCTATGATTGATCTCAATATTTAAAAGGTCAGGAAATACTTTGCACATTAGAAATTTTTAATCCCACTAAGATTCTCTGAATAGTTATGTTTATGACAGCTGATCTGGGTCCTTCTTAAACAAAGAAAAAGTAATTAACACATCCATATCTATTTTATATATTTATAATGAAATTATAAATTTTAAAAATACAAACTCATGCACATATATGAAAAAATACATATATATTTTAAAGTTATTCAAGGTGAGGGAGTATTGCTTGAGAAAGATAAAATTAACCAACCCAGAGAGAGAGTGTGTGATTAAATTTTACAGATGCATGGCATGTCAGCATCTGATCCCAAAAGCTCTTTAGAACATGTCATCTCAAATGTTTTAGTAGCAAATCTAACATAATAACATTTCATTAACCTAGTTTTCAATCAATGGACAATCTCAACAATAAAAAATACAGGAAAAAACCTGAAGTAAAAGGCCTCCAAAGAACCAACTGAAGTTGCAAAGCCCATGTAATTCAGACTCCTGCACTTCCTACTGATGCACCCTCACCTCTCCCCTCAGTGCTGGTCTCGGCTAATAAGCCTATCACTTGTCTATTCACTCTGCAGCAGAACAGGAGCAGCCACTTCAAGACAGGCAAGGAGGGAACGCAGGAGCAATGCATGCACAGCTTACCCTGCCAGCGGGAAACTAAGAAGAAAAATAGATCTGAGGGATCTGGGGGTTTAAGGTAAAGGTACAATAGGCTCGATGCCTGTGCCTCTGAGAACATTGCAATGCAGTAACTGATACTAATAATAACCTATTTTAGAATATTTCCTCCAAAGAATACATAGTAATACATTTCAGTATTAAAGGAAGCACTTCAGTCAGGTGGAAAATTGAATTATTAACCATCGCATTCCAAATGATACCAACAGAATTGTATTACATGTAAATCTACTTTAGACATGATGCTCCCATTTTAGATGAGTCAAGACATTAAAAAAAAAAAAAAAAAAAAAAAAAAAAAGCCCTGGTCGGTGTGGCTCAGTTAATAGCACGTGCTCCCATGCACCAAAAGGATGCTGGTTCGATTCCCAGTCAGGGCACATGCCTGGGATGTAGGCTCAGTCCTCAGTAGGAGGTGTGCAGGAGGCAGCCTTTAAACGTTCACTCTCACATTGATGTTTCTCTCTCTCTCTCTCTCTCTCACTCTCACATTGATGTTTCTCTCTCTCTCTCTCTCTCTCTCTCTCTCTCTCTCTCTCTAAAAATCAATAAACTATTAAAACAAAACAAGACAAAAAAGACATTTAAAAAAAGAGTTTACACAACAGTTTTAATGGCAAGAAACAAACAAAGCGTATTTACTCTCAAAAGAGGAAAAATCTTACTTTTGGCCCAAGGAAGACTGTTTCTGGAGTTTGCAATTTAGGGCTGGTGATTCCTGCCCAACCCAAGGGCACAATGCCCAGTTTGTGACAATAAAGCCAAAGATGTCCGTTTGTATTTTTAAACAATGTCTTGTAATGTAAATGTTTTTCCTTCAAATTTTTGACAGCATTTCTAAATCACCTCGAATTTAATGTAAATTTAAGTAAAATAACTTACACTTCTTGTAATGTCTGAGATTCCAAGCTGATGTTCCAGTTAGACAACCGGTTATGACTCAAATCCCTAATGGAGGACAAAAAATATTCTTAAGTTAGTGTTGGAAAGCAAACTTAAAGAAAAAAACTAAAATAGGAATCTAAAAGCCCTATCAAAAGTAAATTTGAGCCGAGACCGGTTTGGCTCAATGGATAGAGCGTTGGCTTGGGGACTGAAGGGTCCCGGGTTCAATTCCGGTCAAGGGCATGTACCTTGACAGCTGATCGATGACTCTCTCTCATCGATGTTTCTAACTATCTCTCTCCCTTCCTCTCTGTACAAAATCAATAAAATATATTTTTTTTTAAAAAAGTAAATTTGAGTAGGAAACACAAAAAAGAATTTTTATAAAGGATGAAAAAAAATTTACCTTGTCTTCAGCCATCCAATTTCCCTTCTCTACATCAAGAAATGATAATATAACATTTCTTGTGTAACCTGACAAATATTTATGCACATACCAGAAAATTTTTACATAAGTGATAGAATAATTTGCACCCTACTCTGCCCTTGCTTTTTTCTCTTCACAGTACAGCTTGTAGGTCATTTCACAGAATGTTATAAATTTCTTCATCCATTTTAGTGATATTATACTTTATTATAATATACTATACTTTTGAAACAAATATATGCTTTTCAAAGTAATACGATGTAAAGTAATATGTACTTTTTAAAGTAGAATTTACTTTACATAATATATAGTATAATATATAACACTGTAATACACTATATCACACTTTAGCTGAAGATAAACTTGTAGATTTCACAAGTCAAGACAGTGAGCTTCTATATTAGAATTGGGGTTGACCACATCCTTGATAGAGATGTGGTCTTCCTTTAAAAAACAACAACACAAAGACAATCCAGCATCAGGGAAGGTAAATTTATCTTACTCCCAATTATGTAGATGATGATAGCATTGACAGCAGCTAATGTTTGAGTGCCCGTCAGTCACTCTTCCATACGCTTTATACGTATGAACTGCCTAATTCCACACAACTTTATGAGGCAAATACTCTTATAATCTTCCTTTCCTGGCACAGAATGGGCAGAGATTAATAATTTGTCAATCCAAGGTCACATAGCGGATAAGTGAAGAAGCCATCAACTTGAAATCTCACTTCTAGCAAACAGTTTATTAAGTATAGCAGATATTTCACTAAAATTAGCCATTAGTCTAAATATTTAAATAAGCTTTAAAAAATTCGCCTTGATGCTTCCAGGTATCTTTACAAGACTGAGGTGGAATCCAGCCCACACAAGCTGTCTGCCCAAGAGATGTATTGCACATTACAATAATCGCCGAAGACTAGAGAAACATTGCAGATCACTTGATCTCACTGTACCACCCAGGCAGTTGACAGATGCATGCAGGTTGATCGATATCTCTACCATGGAGTAACTTGTTCTCCACTAGATTCCATATCTGTCCATCTATAAAACCTAGTACCCTTCATTTAAGAGCTTAATTTACACCATGCTTGATAAACATCACTTAAAGAGTCCTAATCGGTTTTGCTCAGTGGATAGAGCAAACTGAAGGGTCCCGTGTTCGATTCTGGTCAAAGGCACATACCCGGATTGTGGTGTGTGCCCGGATTGTAGGGAGCGTACAAAAGGCACTCAATCAATGATTCTCTCTCATCATTGATGTTTCTCTCTCCCTCTCCCTTCCTTTCTGAAATCAGTAATACTTTTTTTTTTTAAATCACCTAAAGAATCTAAAGCTTTGTAACAGTCAATAGTCTTTCCCTTAATTTTAAATATGACTAAGTATCTATTTATGGATATAATGTTTGGAAAGTAAAAGTTTCAGGGAAGGCCTTATCTCAGTGTTGTAAACTCAGCTCCCACTCTTGCTACCCTACAGGGATGTATCTGTAATAAAGGATGAATTATTAAGGTTCTTGATATCATGTGGAGCCAGAGGTGCCATTAATGTAGTCATTTAGTACCATCAGGGTGTAAATAATTTATAGGATGGACAGTGCAATCCCCACAGTCTAAGGAGAATCGGCTCTGCAAGCTAACTGCAAAGTCCACAGCAGGAGACTTGGGGTTTTCTCTCCCAGTCACACAGACACACTTTGGAGGCATCTGCAGCACTGACAGGCCAAACTGTGAACTTCAACAACAACAAAGCTTCTTTAAAGGAGCCCTTTGTAAAGTTAAAAGGGCATATTGTACCCAATGAGTGTGATAATGCTTCATGCATTTATCCAGCATAAGTTGCCTTTGTCTGTAAATGAAAACCCATCTCATTAGAGTCTACCTAGCATAATTTACTTTCAAAAATAATATTCAGGATTATCATTCTGATCAATTCCAGTACTGTGATTTAATCAGATGATGATCATCAGTATTACTTACTCTTGGAGTGTGGTAAAGATAAGGATTGCAAAACAATTCTTAAAATTGTCTGCTTTTACGTTTGCTTTTTCTTTACCACTAAGAGCTTCACACCAAAAGTCAGCCTTTCTGTCTGTAACAGCGCTGCTTGAAATTGTCCTGGATTTGTTGCTTCTAACCAACTGTCATAGCTAGGAAACCTCAGGTCCTGTTGAAACAGGACTAAATGAAATCTGAGAATCTGAGGGGCTTTATGAATAAATGCTTCCTGGAAACACACTTGTCTTTTGGTTGAACTAGAGATGGCTGGAAACATTAAGTAAATACATTTAGGATAAATAAGATTTTATTAAAGCATAATGCTATTCCAAATTAAACTTTCTATCCATCTGCACTACTTATTTGTAATACAATGTACAACACTTCTGTGAGTCCAAAAAGTTTAAGGTGGTAGGAAGATGAGAGCATTCATTTCAAGAATAAAAGGCATGTTTTATTTTCTCCCATTATCCTTCCTCAGTTCTTAACAGTTGAAAACATACAAAACAGGAAATATAAATTCTACAGTTACATTTAAGAACAGAGTTTTGCATGTCCAATTCTGGGACCTTGGGCAAGTCACTTCACCTCTCTAACTTCAGTCTCCCTACTGTTAAAAAATAATAGCAAGCCTCACTTGAGGCTTATAAAATTTTAAAGTATAAACAAAATTTAAAAGTATAAACAAAATACAGTTCAGTATATAAATAGCAAGTTATATAATACAAGATTTGAAATAGGATGATGGTCCAGAACAATCGCCTTTTCTGAGTATTTATCTCTTGTACATGCAGCCATAATCCACTTCCAAAGGTAAAATCTTAACTGACTGGAACTACTCCTGTACAATAAATTAAAGTAGTAAGCTAAATATTGCTTCTGGATTCCATTCTCATGAGCTTCATCTTCTGTTTACCATTTCCCCAGATAGACCAAGATAAAGAATATGTTAACATCTATTATGCAATGAAAGAAAAGCATATTGTGCATGCTTTGAAATGACTGTTGGAAGCGAAACAGTTTCTCAGAACAAAGAGTATGCACACCCAAAACAACAGGCATTAGATTCTGCAAACACGATGGTAGTGCATCCTGCTTGCCCCCAAATGTGCTTAGACACTCACCAGTCGGTCTAGTTTAAAGAAAGCTGTGTTTCTGCTAGTGCTCAGGAAGGTGGGTATGTGAACGCCATCCACAAGGCCTTTGAAGTGTCCCAGCTTTAGAAATGCATGTCTGGCATACAGGCTGGAATGAAGCTGTAGACTATTAAAAACTCCTCAAACTACAGCTCTAAGCCATAATGGCACTCTGAACTCAACCGATTATTCAATGATACTTAGTAAATACCAAATAGATACTGCGAAGCCCTGCTAAAAACCAAGATGATCAGCCCTCGCTGGTGTGGCTCAGTGGACAGAGCCCTGGCCTGTGGACTGAGGGTCCTGGATTTGATTCCAGTCAAGGACACAGGCCCTAGGGGCATGCAGGAGGCAGCAATTAATGATTCTCTCTCATAATCAATGTTTCCATCTCGCTCTCCCTCCCCCTTCCTCTCTAAAATCAATAAAAACATATTTTTAAAAAACAAAGATGATCAGAATAATGAAAAATTATTTGTGCAGGCAAAAGTTTTTGTGAATTTTGGTGCAATTAGACAAAACATTCCAGACAGTGTGAGATGGGAACTAGAGTAAGTAACTGAAGGGTCCCTCCCGGGTTTGATTCCGATCAAGGGTACATGCCCAGGTTGTGGACTTGATCCCCAATAGGGGGCGTACGGGAGGCAGCTGTATGTAGCATATCAAAAGATGATGCCTACTAATGACAAAAATAAAGCCACAAAGAGGTGGGGGATGTCTCTGGGAGAGACAGATAGCCTGCAAGTCCTGAGATTCTGTGGAGACTGTTAGAGAACAGTGAGACCAGTGCTGAGAGTCTCATGGCAGATACTGGTTGGTACTGAGCAGAGGAGGGTGTTAAGAGGAAAGAGCGGTGAGGAATCTTTCCAGGAATAAGCGCGGTTCTTTACTCTGGAGTACAGACTGGGAACGGGGTGATACTATCCAAAGCAAGAAGTTTCTCTTGATATCTGCTTATGGAGGCCATGCTGATCAGAGTGAACCAGGATTCTAACCCACTGCACGCTCAGCCCCAGGGCCAGTCTCACTTCTCTGTGAGTATGGTGAGAATACGACCCAAAGGAAAGGAGGAAATGGAAAGTAAAGGCAGGTACTCACAACTGAGGTGAACACGAGGGACCTTAAGTGGAAGGGAAATTTAATCTGTACCTTTTTTAAAAGGACTCATTTTCAGTTCACCACTCTGTGGTTTGAAGCAATTAAAGAAAATTTCAAAGACCAAATCTTAGAACAAAAGATGCTCCTGTAGTGCTCTTATCACTTAGGAAATTATCAGGCTTTCAGGAGCTCTGAGCAGGCACTGGGCAGAGACCACAGTGTCCCCTTCTGGTGTGTTGCCATAACCCCCTTTCAGCAAAACAATGTGCAGGCAAGGCCACTCAGGTCTGCAGGCTTCCTTCTGCTCAGTCTAGTCCAGTTCCAGAGCAGGGGCGGTCTAAGCAAACACATGGCTTCTTCACCCTTTCAGTCACCCGGAGTAACTGAATCACTGACAATGCC